TATAGAACAAAAGTGTGAAAGTCGTTAGAACTATGAAAGATAGCGGTAGCTGAAATAAAAAGTGTTACATCATGTTACAGTTTTGCTCGTCACTGTATGTGCGTAATATACTCGTCTCTGTGGATGTTTTACAGGACAAATTATGTGATTTTAGAAGTTTCGATTTTAAAGGGATAGATAATCTACTTTCACACGCAAATTTCATAGTGTTTGTTTGAATTAAGCTTTAAGCCAAGTGATCCCCTAAACTACAGTTGAGAAACTAAATACTTTGAACGTAGGATAGAAACCCAATAATAATTTTTATAGGAATAGAAGCATTCGACTTAAGCTGTTCTTTTTAATGTTCAATAATTTGTTCTGAGTGGGTAAACTGGTTAGTAAAGAGTCCTACACCAAAGCTATCTACGCATCAGGCAAGCCAGCACTTAAACTGCATATGCAAGTAGATATATAAATTCCAATTACAGCAAGCGTGGGCTTGTACCATAAAAAAATTGAGGAAAAAGAAAAGGTTAATGAATTCCTTTGACAAATTCTCAATTCAACACATTCTCTTAATTATTGGGGTGTGTACTAAGATGTATTGGATGGTGGAATACATTGATGTAAAATGATCCTTTACATGAAAATATAAACATTTGAACGCCTCTGATGTTATTTATTTTAAAATATTTTCTCAAAGTGCTTTTCGTAGTAATTCCTAAGCGATTTCTACCGAATTGGAAATGCCAGGTGAAGCCAAGTCCTTCTTTACCTGGTCTTTCCATCGCAGAAGAGGCCTTCCGCTTCCTCTGCTAGCCAAATCATAATACTCTTAGGGCTAGCGGAGCCGTTGAATTTCAATTCGCTGCACGCAGACCGACGAGATTGGGGAAAGGGAGGTTTGGTCTGTTTCGCCTTGAGCCCGGAGGTAAAAAAAAAACCAAAATATTTTGCTAAGTAGATAAGTCATAAATTGCAGTTAAGGCTTCGTGGAAATGAACTATAAGAAAAATTATTTTGTACTTTTTACTGCATTTATAGAATTTTTGTTTATAATGAATTTTTTATTTGACTTTTTATTGATAAAAGGCACAACTGAGCGCCGATCAGGAGCAGAAGAAAATGGCACAGCTATTAATTAATGTCTAACTTTGCCACTAAAATATTTATCATTTAATGCTCAGTGGAAATCCGGCATTAAAAATAACGAATCTGTTCTACCTACCTGCCTACCTATGAACATATAACTTTCTTATAAATGAAGGCAAGCAATTTAGTAACATTTGCTATTAATTTTTTTAAAGAAACCATTGGAAATAAAAATATAGGGTAAATTAAACACATGTTGTCCGATAATTACAAATAAATAAAAAAAAAAAACACCTATTTAAGGTGTGCGCATGACAATTGCGAATTTTTGACTGCAATTTAAAACATTATTTCATTACAACTACATACTTACTACACTTAAAAAATCAAAAATATTGCAAAATCATTTTCCTTTCAAATTAATGAAAGTTGTTAATATTCAATTGCTGTATTTAAATGAAAAAATATTGTTACACTTTATTTCTTGAACATTTTTAATGGCAAGATTACAAACAATTTTGTGCTAAATTTTCGGCAAACATGTATCGCCTATTATCCAATGCCCACACAACCACACACACACACACGCACTCATACGCAAAAATAAAAAATAAAAATAAAAAAATAAAATATGTAATTCAAAAATTTCGCAGCCCACCTCCATAAACGCACAAGTAGCCGTAGCTGGTGTGGTCGCTGCCTGTTTCATTATGAATTTATATATTTACATTCACTTTTTGCTTTAATTTTGTTTTTCATTTTTTCCCTGGGCTGCATGTTGGAAAGTAAAACAAAAATGCGATCGCAATGCTTGGCTTACTTTTTGGCTTCGACAAGATCAAGTAGCCAGTTTGCAAGCGTAGGGTGTGCATGTGTTTGTTTATGTATGTGTGTGCGTGTGTGCGTGCGCCAAATTAACATGCGTACTCATTTTGTGGACTCCAGTGCAGTTAAGAGGCATACAAGTGTGTGTTTACATTTTGCAGTCGAGGGGGTGAAATAACACAAACGGCAATAAAGCAAATTGCCATTAAATTGGGAAATAACACAAATTTGCTTTATTTCATTTCTCGTTGAGCAATAAGACCAACTTTGAAACCTAACAATTTGAGTAATAAAGCAAAATAGTGCACATATGTAGGTAGTCACCCAGTTACATTTGATAAAAAGTAGTAAATGAACAAGTTAATGGACAGATTTGTAAGTATATAAATTTGAAAGTGCCCAGCGTCGCGGCGGTCCACGTTCATAAGTAAAAATATTTTGTGAATATTACTTTCTTCCTATGAATTATATCATATTTTTTGTTTAATTATATTTTTGGAATAATAATAATAAATTATTACAAATAGTATAAATAAGCAATGGGAAATAAGGCAAAATTTGTTTTATTTCCAACCTTTGATGTAAATAAAGCAAAACTCAGATTTTGGTATTATTTCCCGTTTAAAAGTGAAATAAAGCAAATTTTGCGTTATTGCCGTTTGTGTTATTCGACCCCCCCCTTTGCAGTCATACTATGTGCTGGCCCGCAGCGATACCAGCACGATTCCACGCGTGCACTTGCGGCAATGCAGCAACAGCAGCAGCAGGCGCGGTCTATTTTATTATCGCTGACATCTACATTTTTTCGAAAACGAGTACATTTTTTTCTATACCATTTCAATTGCTGGTTAATGTAAATACTCGTACATACCTACGCATATCAGTTTAATTGCCTGCTAGTACCCTTCGTTTGCCTCTGGTAATGATTATGTGTGGTGGTATTAAAGTTTGTTTTGTGGCGCTAACAACGCATTTTTCGAGTGTTAAGCTCTGTACGTTTGCCACACACACACACCCACCGATGCCACTGCGTTCCCTCTGCAATGACTTTGCATCTCAGCTACATTCACTGGGCGCTCTCTGCTAGATGCCACTAAAACACTTTCAATTTCCAACTTAATTCAATTGCGTTTACTTTTTTTTTTGTTATGCCGCAAGCATTTGCTGTATTTTTTTTTGTTTTTCATTTTTGTTTTATGTTTTTGCTTTAGTTAATTTTTGCCTACGAATGCGGATTTATTGGTCACATGATCAGTTGATTATGGTCATTGGTGGTAGCTAGGCAGCGAGGCAGCGAGGCAGCGAGGCAGCGAGGCAGCGAGGCAGCGAGGTAGGTTGGTTGGTTCGGTGGTTGGTAGGCTGTTGCTTGTGCTGCTGCTGCTGCTGCGTCATCGCTATCATTTATTGTTAAATGCCAACAATGCTTGATTTACGTCTAAGACTTGTTGGCCTCTTGACTGCAGGGTCTCACAAGACTTGTACCGTAGCAACGATTCATACATACCTATGTACTAAATTATACTATACAAGTATTTGTATTTGAATTTATAAAAGCTGCCAATTAATTGCTTTTGGAACGCAGCGACAAAGTCGCGTGATTGCACCAATATATTCATCTATTTGTTTGCACTTACTTTTTTTTTGTCTGATTTTTGCTTCATTTCGAATAATAAAATTTTAATTGGTAAAGTTAGTGTACGATTCGGGTAAAGTAATTTGTTGCGCCTAGAATTTATTTTGAAATTCGATATGCAATTGCTCCAAGGATTAATCAAATTTTTTGGGCATATTTTTTTTCAACTATGGGCGTGCACGCATATTAATCAAAACTAGAGTGCCAGTTACTGTCGAAATTCGGCCGTTTTTGCTAGTTTTTAAGAG